TGAAATTCCCGGTTTTACCAACTGTCGGTGATATCTATTCCTTCACTGGGATTCAAGGAGGACTCGAAATTAAGCTTTTACCATCCATTACTTCTCATCCACTATATTGTTCTACTAGATAATAATTCAAGACTTCACTGTGATTGTTCGACGTTGTTGCGTGTCTAGTTCAACTCCATAGGTATATGAATACTTACAAAGAACATTAATTAATTATGCATCGATTGATAGACATTTAAGGTCTAGTCTGCATAGGTTCAGAATTAAGAAATGCAATTTACAGGTGGAAATCTTTAAAAACACATCAAAACTTCAGGTAGTAAGGGAGTGAAGTAGGTAAATTTGCAAAACAAATTTGTATCGCGTTCGAACGGTTCCTTAGATAATACACTGAAGCCGCTCTTCTGCTCTTCTTTAATTGATAGTGGTTCCGTCGTTAGTTTTGGGCGGTTTTTATAGATAATTCACTAAAGCTCTCTTCTAATTGAGGTCGAGATATATTGTATTGTACTTATTTCATACTTGATTCAGTTTTCTTTGTTATTCATAGAGTTGTATCTAGCTTATTCCACAGCTCATTGTGTATTCAAGTGCTTTATATCGAAGTTTCAGGGATATATCTAGAAATCGCCCCCATTTGAGGGCAATATCTATATATTGCCCTTGAATACTAATGTACTTATTGCCCTTGAATACCTAATTAGCTACTACGTTCAATTCAGAAATTTTCCGTCTGAAACTTTAAACTTGAAAGAAAGAAAGAAAAATTCAAATGACACCAAGTAGATTCGAACCCACGACCTTAGCTTTGAAAATCCTATACTTAACACGTTATGCTAACTGACTTATCGATGTCAGTTGGTATATTGTTAGCATTGGTCTCATGGGACTAACGAGAAAAATGCTTATGCAAATTATTACCGTTGGGAATTGTCAATACAGTAAATTTCGTAACCTTTCTAATCGAGGTTTTGGTTTTTAATTCATATGAAAACGGCTTCTTTGCCTATTTAAAAATGAAAATATTAATGCAGTGCTTGGAAAACTTCTTCTCGAACGTCGTCAATAAGCCAATAAAGCCCTCGGGGCCTACGGCCCCTCGTGCTTTATATGGCTTATTGCCTCCGTTCTCGGTATTTATCTCTTACTTAAATAAACCTATAATATATAGAGTCGGTTGATTGTATTTTTTTCAATCACTCAGTCACTCACTTTTCTGTAAACTTGAGTCTGCGTTACTTGTGTTAATAACAATTAATTTATTCTAATTATTTTCTAGTAATTTACTCATTGATTTACCGTTATCGGGTTCCCTGTTGTATAGTTGTTTGAATTTTTATATTTTTTGGCAAAGAAAGAAATCTAAAGACCAGCTCCTCT